AAAGGAGGAGAAGAAGACGAGGCGTGGCATCCACGACAGCCCCGCGTCGCCCCTTGACTACAGCGGCGGGTCCGGGTCCGGCGCGTCCACTAGCGGCGGTGAGGACAGCGCCTTCTGCTCCCAGGCAGAGCCACAAGTGTTCCCGTCGGCCGTCGCGGCGTTCCAGCTCGCCGCGCTCGCGCCCCCACCAAGGGTTTTTGTGCCTAAATCATGTCCACGTGGACAACCAAGTAAGCTTCTAATCCTCCTTGTGTCTATTTTGGATCTGGATGAGATCACTTAACGACATTAGGAAGTCAAACGTGCGATTTGATAGTTTGGGGACCCAAATAAAATCGGTACGATACTTTAAGGATCGGCTGTGCAATTTACTCTTTTCATAGTATACCAAAAATAATTTTCCATAAAATTAGCCAAATTTAATAAAGGATGTCTCAACCTAAACATAGAATTATGGTTTTTAGTATAGAAGTAATATCAACATTTACATCTCTAAATATATCTACCTTAAAAATTTATTTCACTATTAATATCCTATTTTATATTTGTCGGTTGAAAGTACCAGATTCCTCACAAACCAAGATGTGTACCGGCAGCACTCTGCGTTATAAACTATACGTTGTTTTGACTTTTCTAGGTATAAAGATTTTGCTACATGCTTAAACATACGATGTCTTAAAAAATCATGCGATATATTTAGATATATAATAAAAATTGCGTATCTAAAAATGCTTAAATAAGCTATAAATGCAACGGAGGAAGTATTATTTTTTGGCAGCGGAAGTTGTGATTTGGATTTCATTGGGTCCGTATAAAATGTCTGTGTACAAGCTCCTCGGTACGGCATACGAATGCAACACGAAACCTGCGCGGCGTTACTCGCAGGTCCCAAAGCGCTGGGATGGGCGGGCCCCACGTATCGGAAGAAACAAAAAGGGAACAAATAAACAAATCTGAGCCCCGTACCCGCACCGAGGCTCGTCTCCGTCCTTCCAACAAAAACAATGCCACAACCTCCACCTTCACCCTGCAACAGTGCCAACCTTTTTTTTTTTTTAAAATCAGCGTCAATCAGCATCAGCATCAGCACTAACCAACGAACACGCCCGTTAATGAATCCATCTCAGAAAAAATTAAACGAGAAACTTGAACCCCATCCATCCGTCGTTTTCAACCACCGTTGAATCCAAATCTAACACAGCGGCTCCTGATAACAGTGCTCCATCTGGTCAAACCCGGAAAAGTATTAGCAGCACCGTTAGGCCTGGTTTAGTTTCTAAAAATTTTCACCCCAAACTATCATATCGAATCTTACGGTATATGCATAATGTATTAAATATAGACGAAAAAAATTAATTGCACGGTTTGGTTGGAAATCACGAGACGAATGTTTTAAGACTAATTAGTTCATGATTAGTCATAAGTGCAACAGTAACTAACATACGCTAATGATGGATTAATTAGGTTTAATAAATTCGTCTCGCATTTTCCAGACGAGCTATGTAATTAGTTTTTTTTATTAGTATCAAAAATCCCTTCCGATATTCCAAAACATCCAACGTGACTTCAAAAATTTTCATTCCACGAACTAAACGTACCCTTAATAACAGTAGCAACACCGGGTACCGCTACTACTACTGCTACTCAGTAACAGCGAGCTTGCTGCTACCCTTGAGTGAGTGACACTGTGTGTGAGCTGCTGTGATTGAACAGCAGAGAGAGAAGAAGAGGGGAAAAAAAGAAGAAAAAAAGAACCCAGAAAGAAAAGGCTAGTACGCCTCTGGTCCGGGTGGGGGTGAGTGAGAGTGAGACGATAGACGAGACGGGGAGGCAAAAAGCCACCACGAGCGAGCCACCGCAGAGACGAGACGCCTCGCTCCCTTGTTCGAGCTGCCTGGGCGGGAAAGAGAAAGCGAGCTGGTGCCTACGAGACCGCAGACGCAGAGATTGAAAAAAGAGAGAAGGGCAAAAGCAACGCGCGTGCCGGCTCGGAGAGAGGATTCTTACCGGCGCGACTGGCTTCTCATCTCCGCGGCCTGCTCTCTTCCAAGTTCCAATCCACCCACCACCCGGCGCCGGCGCCGCTAATCTGGTACGCTGGTTCTTCCTGTTGCTTCTCTCGCGTGGGTGGGTCGGCGGCAGGCAATGCGGGGGGTGCTGTTCTCCCGTCGCGTACTCGCGTCCCCGCCGATTTCTGTCTACTAACAGGGGGAAGGAGCAGCAGCGCTTCCGGACCCGTTGGAAGTAAAACCGAAGCTTTTTTTTTTCTGGCGTTCCACGCGGTTCTTGTGACGGTTGCCATTCCCCACTGGTATTAATGCTCCCCGTTTCGCTTTTTCCCTGCGGCCCTGTTTCTTGAAATCTTGGCTGGTTGGTTGTTTTTTTTCCTGACTTTGTTTTGGTGGGGGCACCGGGTGGGTACAGAGATGCTGTCCTGTTCCTTCCTCTTGGCGATTTTCGTTAGGGTTTTGGTCTGCATTGTGTCTCCGATGTGGGATTTTGCGGAGATTTGGTGATGGGCGAGAGCTGAGGCTCCCCATGCCGGTGCTCTGTCTTTCAATACAGATAGGAAAAGAGAGTTTACGAACCAGCCCCATGCCGGATTTTCGGCGGGATTTTTTCTTTCCGCGCGCGGAGTGTGGGTTTCACTGATTTCTTCGGTGGATTTGAAGAGAGAAATCTCAGCTTTTTTAAGAAAGCCATAAAAGTTGATCTTCGGTGGATTTGAGGATAGTCTCATCCCTCCGCTGCATTTTGTAGGATTCGGGGGTTTTAGGTGCAGCCTATTTTCGATTTGTCTGCGTATCCTGTTCGCTTATGCTGAAATTTGGCTTACGCTGATTTATTGTGAGGGGAAAACCCTGCTCATTCGCTGAAAAGTAGTTTAAACGAACAGGGTGGCAGAGTTTGGAAACGGAAGGGGGTGGATTTCTTGTCTGATAAATTGATCATTTCGGCATTGTGAAGCCTTTCAGAAAGAATGTTTGGCCGTACGTTTTCTCGGTCTCTGCAGCCGTATTCAACCCCCCTGCCTGCATCCTGTACCGATCTCTGTATGTTTTAACAGCAGAAAAGGAAAGAAAAACTAATCTTGTGTCGGTGAGAGTTGCCTTGTAAACAGTTTGGTAATTGAATCTTCAAATTTTCTTGTTGTCCAGGCATTATTTTACTGCACGATGCTCAGCTTTAAGGTATAACTCACTCTGCAATGTGGCTTGTATTGAGTTCTCTTTCAACTTTCAGGGTTGATATATGAACCTGGCCTTTGGACATTTGGTCGTGCCAAAGCAACGCCAACCTTCCCTGTTGCTGCTTTGAATGTTCTGGTGGTTGTTGGATGGATCGCCGCAGCTGGCTCTGGAAGCGCAAGTCGTCAGATAAGAGCCCTGGGGAGAGTGATAGCTCTGGCTCGGCTTCATCACACTCTGAGCCTTACTTCGATGATCAGGTTCTGCTCCATACGTTAAATACCCTTCGATTCTTAATCTCCGCATGCTAGAGATTATGGATTCCGACAATGCAGGGACCTATCTGCAGTTTAAACATCAGAATTGGGGTTTGGTCAGGTGTTCTTTTCAGTTTCGTGACCACATCTTTTCTTAGGGATCGATTTAGGTCCTCTCAATTATAATGAACAGGACAGTTTACTTTTGGCATCTCTAGGCAAGATGTCAATTTTTCCTGCCCTGGATGGATTTATGAAACACACATGCTTGTAGTTTGACCTGTTGATGGTGTCACAGAATAGGTTCCTAATTCATATGTCATTGAACTTGTTGGTGAATGTGCTGTTAATTCATATGCCATTCAACTTGTTGTTGAATGTGCTGTTAAAAACTGGTCAGCTGGCAGTGAGAATATAGATAGAACTAGAGCGTTAAAGTTTTCCTTTTTAACCTCTTCATCAGGTCTCTGTTTTCCTCATTCTTAGGACAAAAATAAGTGGTGGGAAGAGCAAAGGTTAATGTTCTTAAGTAACATATTTGTGCAATTGCAACCAACAGAATGGTTGTACTTTAGTCTTTTCCTAAGATCGAGATGCTTAGTTAGGTATAGTTGATACACTAGCTTTCTTCACGCTTTTGTTCTGCCTTATTGGATTGGTTTTGCAAGAGTTAGGTGCTACTTTTGCCATATTGAGTGTCAGAAACTGACTTTAAAGCTCTAGCTCCCAATGAAAATTTGGATTGGTTTAGGTGCTTGGAACTAAGTTCCTTTATTTTTGTTTCTTGGAAACTAGTAGTTGCCTTTTTTTTACTGCAGTAAATGGGAGAAATCTTGTGCCATGAAGGGTCATATTGGTGCATTATTCTAACCTATGAATGAATCTTGCATTGAAATTGTTAATCTGTCAGCGCAACTTTGTCTGTATTACTGTGCCAGATAGAGATGTGTGACGAGAATTTCTGTTGAGTAACTAATTCTGAAATTAATATGGCCATGTCGCTTGTCACTAGAATTTCTGTTTTGAGTTTTATGCTTCATAAGTTTGGTCTATAATCCATATCCATACATAAAGAAAGACATCTCATTTTACAACTAGATTATTTAGGTCATAACTCTTGTGTTGTACACAGAGTAATATGTTAGTCAATTTCAGTTTCTGTCTTTAAATATACATATACAGTTAGGCTTGACATTGCTCTGGTGTTTGGTGTGCTTTGACTTTTCCAGTAACATATCTAAATATCTATAAATTGCTTCAAAATTCAAAGTTATTTTGTATCTTAGTCATTAAAATAGTTAGTGATTACGTGATGGATCTCAAGCTTGATTGTCCTGTATGGTAGTTGGGATTTAGGATTTTCAGGGCAGAGCTGTAGTTATGTCGTTTTTTTTCTTTAAAAGGAGAATAGAGACTTGGCACTTAGCTGACTCATCCATCCTGATAAACATTCCTGTTAAATCTCTTATTAACTATTTAATTTTAGATTCTTTGACCGCTGCTCTGATAAACATTCCCATTTACCCTTTTTTTTCCTAATCAGGAACGTAAACCTATGTCTACTAATTCTTCTCCAAATCATAGTCATTCGCCTGACGTATCTTCTAGAATAATTGATAATGAGACTCAAGAAGCTGAAAGAGCAGAATCAGTGAATGAGAAGCTGGTGTTGGCAAGTAGCTCAAATGATTCTTCTCCACAACATGATCAATCAATGAAGCCAGAGGTATACCAATCACCGCTGCCAGAGGTATCCCCAAATATCAGGAATGATGATGTCCAGGATTCTGTAAAGAATTTGAATGAGGTGCCCCCAAAGGTCAAGGACGATGATGTCCAGGATTCTGTAAAGAGTTTGAATGAGAAACTTTCTGCTGCCCTTTTGACTATCAATGCTAAAGAGGACTTGGTAAAGCAGCATACTAGAGTTGCAGAAGAGGCTGTTGCAGGTAATTTTTTTCTATTTCCAGTTGAACTTAAATAAAATTTGCAGTTTGAGTGACTCTATGCATAGGGTTACTTAGTAGTCCCTCTCCATTTTATAGAATCAAGCTTACATGTGATGAAGTCAACTTGGCTAAAAAGATGAAAGTTATTTGATTAGTTTGTTATGCACCTTCTTCAGGTGAAGATTAAAATGCTATCCTAAGAATGTACTGAATTGAATATTGTATTTTTCTTTATTTGTAGGTTGGGAACAAGCTGAAGCTGAAGTTGCTTCCCTGAAGCAACTACTTGAAACTGCATCCCAGAAGAATACCTCTCTGGAGGATCAGGTCAGCCACCTAGATGTTGCCCTTAAAGAATGTGTAAGGCAACCGTCAAGCACGAGAAGAACAAGAGAAGAAAATCCGTGACACAGTTGCTAAGAAGTATAAAGAATTGGAGTCTGAGAAGTCTGAGCTCCAGCACCATATTGCTGAACTCAGTAAGCAGTTGGAAGCCACAAAACTAGAAGCTACTACTGTGCATGTCCAGCGCGATCTGCAGGAAAAGCTTCAGATAGTGGAGAAAGAAAACAAAGACCTCAAGGTCGAATTAGTCGCACTGTCCAAGGACCTGAAGATACTTGCACGGGAAAGAGACCTGAGCAACCAAGCAGCAGAAACAGCAAGCAAACTTCATCTGGAAAGTGTGAAAAAGATAACAAGAGTTGAGGCAGAATGCCTTAAGTTGCGTCATCTAACGCGGCGTACGTCCTTGACCAAAGATTCTAGGCCGATAACTAACAGTGCTTGCATGGAATCTCAGACTGACAGTCAGTCTGACAGTGGGGAGCGCATGCTAGTTGATGATGAAATGAAAAATTCTGATTCGTGGGCATCAGCTCTGATAGCTGAACTTGATCAGTTCAAGAATGCTAACAATGGCACAAGAAATCTTGTGAATAATCCGGTTGAAATTGACCTGATGGATGATTTCCTCGAGATGGAAAAGCTGGCTGCACTGCCTGAAGTAGACTGTGTGAGCTCTAGCTTTGGAGCTGAAACTGATTCTGACCAGGGTCAGGGTGTGACTAGAGATAAATCATCAAAAGTTGAAACTGAGTCATTGCAGTGTCAGGTGACAGATTTGCTCACACAGGTTGAAAAAAATTGAAGGTGAGAAAAGGAGCTCGAAATGGCTCTTGCAGGCGCCAGAGATCAGCTTGGCACATCATGTGATACCCTAATGGTGGCCAACAATAAGTTGATTGATTTTCAGATGCAGTTGGACTTGGCAAATGAGTCCAAACATGCTGCTTTTGGAGAAGCTGAGCGACTGGATGGTGAGAGGAAAGATTTGGCATTACAACTGGAGTCTAAGTCTGCACAAGTTGATGAGCTTCAGCTGATGGTGGCATCGCTGGAAGAAAGAGTAGACTGGAATAAGTTGGAATTGCAGTTAGAGTTAATTTCTGCGGAGGCTGCAGATCTGCGCAAGACAGTGGCTTCTCTGGAAGAGAAGATTGATGCAGAGAGAACTCTCTCTATGCAGCACAAAGCAAATGCAGACATGGCAGAGGCGTCCAAAGAATCATTAGAGGCACAGCTGCAGTCTGCAAACACAGAGATAGGGAAACTGAAAGGATTGTGCAAACTTTAGAGAGTGAGGTGCGGAAAGAGACGGATTCTTGTGAAGAACTACTGAAACAGATAGAGACTATGAAGACTGAGTCAGAGAGATCACTATCTGTGGTGTCTACCAAAGAGTCATTAGAGGCGCAGCTCCAGGTAGCGACTTCAGAACTTGCAAAGTTGCGTGAGATGGTGAATGCTCTGGAGTGCGATGCAGCGAAAGAGAAGGCATATTCTTCAGATCTCCAGATGCAACTTGAGGCAGTGGTAGGCATCAGGAAGGTGTTGGAATCCGAGCTTGAGTCTTCACACCAGGAGGTGATGAAGCTCAAGGAGAAGGTTTCGTCATTGGAAGTAAGGCTCAAGGACCAGACCTCGTTGCTTGTAGAATTTACAGCTAAATCAGAGGATGCAGTGTCCCGGAAAAAGGCAATGGAGGGTCAACTAGAAGCAGCAAATCTGGAAGTTACAAAACTGAGAAACAAGGTGAGCCTGGTCCAAGGGAAGGTCGAGCAGGAGAAGCTTCTGTCAGAAGAGTACGAAGCAAAATGCCGCAAGCTGGAGGCTCAGGTGTCGAGGGACAGTCGAGAGGCGGTTGTGGCGCCTCACGAACTCAAATGGAGACCTGAAGGTGAAGCAGGTACAGCCCTGCCTGTCTGCATCTAATCTGAACTCGAAATATTGCAATATTAAACTTGACACGCCAGAACTTCCTAATCGCCAATTTCTTACCGTTATCACAGGAGAAGGAACTAACCAGTGCTGCCGGGAAGCTTGCGGAGTGCCAGAAGACCATAGCTAACCTTGGTCGCCAGCTGAAATCGCTAACAGACCTTGATGGTGTGGTGTCCGATCCTGAAAAGCTGGAATCCAGGGACAATCACCTGGACTTCAGAGATGGCGGCGACGATCTGCTCTCTGCAGACGTGGCTGACGGGCTGTATGAAATGGGTCTTCCTAAGAGGAATGGTAGCTGCCTCTCACCCCTTCGGTCGAATCAGTCGTCGGGTGGTTTGCCGTCCCTTAGTAGCTACTTGAGCAAAACAAAAAGGTGAAAAATCTGATGAGACCATTGTGCATAAATTATTTGACAGTCTATGGATGATGTCAGTTGTTACCTGGTGGTAGATCGGTGTACATTTACAGAACTTGATGGTTGCTTACATGTGTCCATCTTCTTTCTCCTTTGTTGTGCTCCCATTTTCTCGTGTGTTCCTGCTGCTTTCATGCTCAGTGTTTGCTAATATCTTCCTGGTAGGGTGAGTGCTTCAGGGTTTGTGACAAATTCATTAGTGCGACGAATTTATTAGATTTTGTGAGACTGCAGAGCATTATTCTTGCCTTGGATTCAAAGTGTCCAGCTCTAAGGGTGGATGCTTTGTTGCTGTTGCCGCTGTAAGCTTGTCTCATCTTCTCTGGTTGGATGCATTGTTGCTGTCTGTAAGCAACCATTACATTGATGTCTATTTTGTTCTCGCAGGTTTTGAGGTTTAAAGCCTGAAGGTCTCTCTTCCCGCTTTTTCTTGTTGCTTTAGTCCGTGCCATGTCGTTCACCACTCGTAGTTGCATTGTGTTAGCGGGGAGCTACCGTGGGGAAAAAGAAGAGCAGCAGAGAAGGCAACGGAAGTTGGCGATGTCAGGATTTAGAATATTCAGAATTTGGGTTTACAATTTTCATGTCCTTCGCATCCTCTCTCAGCTACAGGTTAATCCAATCTGGGCCGATTACATTCATATTGGGCCGGCGCACACGTTGCAGCAACTTGGGCCGATCAACCTTCTTCTCAGCTTTCCCCTCCGAGCCTTCTTCAGATTCAGTTGTTGCCTGTTGATGATGAACACGAGTAACAGCAGGCGTCCCCTCAATAATAATAAAAAAAAAACCAGCCGTGACACATTGTCTAATTCTTTTCCGCGAATGGGCCTGTGGTCTCCTGTCTAGTGGGACTCTAACCAAACCCTGGTGATCACATATTTTTCTAGAATTTTTCTAGAAATTTCAGGGTACACGTACATGTACGCGTTCGAAGGTACTACGCGCCGCACACTAGAGACGATATCGCCTCCCAATCTCTTCTTTATGTGTGTACGGACGTGCACATATATGTGTGCGTATGGTGTAAGTATGAATTGTGTGTGTTTAAGTTGTACCCGATAAAAAAAATCTTTTCCGGTGCAGATGGTGGCCGAGCAGCTCTACCTGTTCTGCTCGGCCGTATCTTAATTCAATTCAGTGCATCAGATGTCGTCTCTCCGACTCTGGTTCCGAGTCGAGCTGCAGCTGCTGCTCCGACTCCGGCAATTGGAATCCGACGAGAGCTGCTGCCGCCGCCGCTGCCTATATGTAAGGGATCGATGGATACACAGGTGGGTAGGGTTTCCCTTCCCATTAATCATACATATCGTCGATCCGTCCGTCGTCGAGTTGATTTGTTCCGTACGTCGTCTCGCTAGCTCATCGTTGTGCTCAATCAAATCAATCCTCCGATGCCGATGCAGTCATGAATTCCAATTCCCACCGGCAATATCGACGCATCCATGTCCTTACTGGGCCGAGGGCCGGGACGGTGCAGCCAATCCCCGCGTCCTCTTCCGTCCATCCTTACGATTACCTCTTCGACGATGATCTGGCCGCCGCTTTGTTCGACGATCACGATGATGATTATCTGGCGGCGGACCCCGCTCATCGCAGCAGCAGCAGCAAGCGTTCTTGCGTCGCTGCCACGAGCGAGGAGGCCATCCTGAGCCTCCAGGAGGTGACGGGTCGTTCTCGCTCGGGGTCGTGGGAGGAGTGCGCCGTCTGCCCTCTCTGTCGCCGCCGGCTGCCCGACGAGGAGGACAAGCAGAGGAGGATCTAGTCTAGGCGGATAGTAGCTTAGCATCATCCTGCTAGTTGTTGAGGTTGAGCATGCATCGCTTACTTCTGTTAATTTCTCTTCTTGTATGTAGGCTGGCAGAATGGGAGATGCATCGCCTACTTCTGTTAATTTCTCTTGCAAATAAAGGATCAATGTTGGGGAATGCCTTTTAATTTTCTTCTAATCAGAAAGCAGCTCACTCATGCCATGCTTGCATTGCATAGGAAATCTGCTGTCTGTCTTTCTACTCCTGCATCATCTTCAGCATTTATGTGTGCGCACGCTTGTCCATGAGTCGTTGACGATCTGCTCTGCAGCAGCCTGAACTGAACCTGCCCTTGCTGACATGCACGAGGTCCATGCCGAACATCAGGCTCGCCAAATACGCAAAGGTCGGTCGGTTTCTGAATTTAGATCAGGAATGTCTGAACATTGCACTGACATTTGCGACAAAAAAACAAACGGTGGTTTGACGATAGTTCAGAGGACATCAGGAGCCTCTGCGGGAAGGTTCTGCAGACGCTGCGCATGCACTACGGTTGGGAGGTAAGTGCAGCTTAGCATCTGAAGAACATGGCTGCAGTTCTTTCATTCTGAAAGAGAAATGCTTCTACAAACCTTTCCGTTTTTGGTTGCAAAGAGTGTAGACGTGACTGTCCCTGAGATCGAAGAGATGCGGCTGGCGCACTACGTGACCATGGGCTCAGAGTGCACTGCCTCCCTCGCAAAGTATCTCGACAACATGTAAGCAGCTCAGCTGGCCGGCCGGGTCAGTTCGTTCCTGATGCATGCAGCAACCCAACTGAAACTGAAACTGAACTTTGTATGGCAGGGACAGGTCTGAGATCGGGTGGGACGTCAGGATCGCGCTCAGCGCCTACGGATCCTTCAGCAGCAGAGATTACCTCAACTCGCAGCGCCTCCGGTATTAGGCCGCCACGCATCAAATGAACAATGCCATTATATATTAATCTGAATCCTGATACTGCAAAAACGAACGCCTGTAGATGCCGTCAGATGCACTTCCACCAGAAGATCTTCGAGACAGCCGACGCCATCGTCACGCCGATGACAGGGTATGCTATGCATACGCGACTCCAGCCTCCTTGCTCCATGGCATTGGCATGACATGCTGCTGCTTCACTTGCTGTTGCTGTGTAGGGTGACGGCGTACGCGCTGCAGGACGACGCGTTGAGCACGGGGGAGCTGGACTACATCAACGGAGGTAACTGTGATGCGATGATGATTTGCCAAGGAGAAAGTTGCAACATATGCATCTCTGACAGACAGCTGAAAACTGCTTGCAGCGGCGCTGGTGAGGTACTGGATCGCGGGCAACTTCCTGGGGCTTCCGGCGATCACCGTGCCGGTTGGGTAGGACAGGGGAGGGCTCCCCGTGGGGCTCCAGTTCATCGGCCGCCCATGGTCGGAGGCCACGCTGCTGCACCTCACCTACGCCATGCAGGAGGCGTGCGGCAAGGAGCACCGCAAGCCCAAGGTGCACTACGACCTCCTCAGGAACAGTAGGTCCAGCCTCGATCGAGCAAACTGGTGGTCGTGGAGTCAGGAGGCGATTAATTACAGCTATATATAGGGTGATTGAGATTCCTTGACTTTGTTTCGCTCGCTTGTAATAATAAATAGCCATACGCATTGGTCGATGCAGAAGCTGAAATATTAATATATTCTCTTTTAAAAAAAAATATAGGGTGATTGATTGTGCTTGTGATTATCAGATTTGTCGGAGAGAATTGAGTTGAATGTCATCGATGTCGATAACTCCCGTCAGAGCAAAAATGGTTGCGATATATTGTGCGCACCCCATTCATGTCATGTCTACAGTTCATCGAGCATTTGTATTCCGCCTTATTGTCGCTCTTCAAGTATGTTACGTCTATACCTCCAGCTTATATTTTCAATCAAGAAACCTTTGCTAGATGGTAGGCATACGAATTGAAAAAAGAAAGAGAAAAAGAAAAATGGATCCGGCATGCTAATTAGCAACACAATATCGCAAACTTAGCGTGCATATACAGTTCAAAATCATCTATCGGTCCAACGTTCCAATTTCCAACTGCAGAAAACTGGCTTGACACATTTGTTCAAATTCCAATGTACCGCGAAGCGAGATGATCAAAATTCACAAATTCTATCATCCTCTTTTTGCAAAAGATGGTGAAGACTAGTGCATATAAAGCATCTCAGTTCTGTATCAAACATTATGCTTTCTATAAAAGCGGGGTTTACCTCTGTCCAAATAAAATATAAGACATCTCAAAGGCAGTATTGGAAGTTTGAATGCCTAGGTCCTATTGTGGAGATTACAATGTTTTGGTGATTTGTGACTAACGTGTGCTTTGCACAGAATAATGCAATAGAGTTAGTCACACTGAGAATGGTCGCAAGTGATTGGCCCCAAGACTTGGTGATTGATTAAGGAGACATCTTTTTTATTAAATGTCATTCACATTATACTCCTTTTATTAATTTATATGCTTCCTGGAATGTGTTATTTAAGCAACTTTTTATTAAATTTTATACTCATTATATTACTTAATTTATGCTTGCTGGTACTCATTATTTAAGCATTGTTTTATTAAATTTCATCCATATTAAATCAATCAAAACTAAATGACAAATAAGATTCTTCAAATCAGCAAGCATCTTATTTATGATTTAGTTCGTTAAATGATGTATATAATGAGTATGCAATTTAATAAAAGGATGTTAAAATGACGAGTACAATAAGCATTAATTTAGTTATGTAATGTGGATGAAATTAGTCACACAAAAAAATGTGGATGAAATTTAATAAATATTTATTGTTTTCACCAAAATGCCACAACTAATAATCACAGAAATAGGGCCCAAATAAAGCATATTTGCATGCACCGAACAATGTCATACAGGGCGCATAAGTGCATTTTCTTACATCAGGGGCATTTTAGTCATTTCGTATGTTAGTTAACAATGTTACCTTCAAAACTAACGGCAGTGTCATGTACGAAATGAAATTCGAAGACAGTGTCAAATAGAGAAGTCTGGAGTTTTCAAAGCCATGCGACGAATATGCGAGTTTGACAGTGTATATATAATACACAAGGAATTCTCTCGATTTAATTTGGCAGGAACTGGAGCATGTACGGGGCTACAGCCCATGATGCAAATTAAGGCCCGCTGGTAGCCCATGATGCAAATTAAGTCCCGCAGCTCTGCCATTCGAGAGTGGGAGGCCTATCAAATCAAACTTGTAGTAGTCATCACATACGACGTGGGCCGCACTTATATCAATAATAAAGCCCATTATGTTTTCCTGCTCATATTCCGTGCATTTTCTTGCTAACTAATGTTTGTGAGGCAGCCATACACGCACGCGAATAACGTGCTGGGATGGAGCCAACGACACCTGCCTGCCCGCTGCCGATTTTGCTTGTTGCCACGTACAAAGGCTAGCTCTTAGTCTTTACGTGACGACACAGCATTCGTAAACACTTCCATTTGTAGCTACATGACCATGGCCGCGGCGGGCAACGACGGCGACAGGGCCATCATCAGCTCCGAGGCCGCCGCCGGGAGGAGGTGGTCGCTGCGCGGCATGACGGCCCTCGTTACAGGCGGCACCAGCGTTCGGCTGGCTGGCTGGGCTGAGCTCGGCTGGCCAGCTCACTCATAGAAACACTATTCACGTTCAGACAGAACAGTATTTTTCTCTCACAACAATCAGCCGGAACAGTATCTTGGCTTATTTTTCAGTCCTGCCGATGTTTCATAGGTATGTTTCAAGTATTTCTTGCGGATGTTGCAAAAGTAGATTGTGATGTTGCATATGTTGCAATCATTGTACATGTATGTTGCAAGTGTTTGTTCCTAATGTTTCATCTGTTTTTTCAGACGTATGTTGCAAGTGTATTTATCTGGATGTTGCATATGTTTCACACATATGTTGCAAATGTTTTTAACTGGATGTTGCATATGTTTGCAATGGTTTCTCAAGTGTTTTCATGTGTTTTTGCATACGCTACACACGCATGTTTCGAATGTTTCAGCTGTTTCGAACGTATGTTACAATTGTTTTATTTGGAAGTTTCAAAAGTAGATTGGGGTGGTTGTGCATGTTGCAATGTGAGCCACATGCCGCAGCCACCTGTTGCAGCTGCTGGGGCGCCATTCATGGAGGAGAGCGGCGCAGCAGGCGTGAAGGGCGCGGGAAGCAAGAAAGTGTGGGGGAGTGGCGCGGACAGGCCCCGCCTGTGCGTGCAATCGGCACTGGCGCGGGCGTTGCAGTAGGCGCGAGCGTCCGGACGCTAGTACTGCAGTTAATTTATGCCATGTAACTATTTGCGCTATCCATTGCAAAATAGAAGATATTATACTTACCTCCACTTCCAAATACTTGGCACTCACTTTATTTGTTTCAAAAAAAAATGTTTCCCTGAAATCTACTTTCGTATTTGCTCTTAAAAACTACTCCCTCCGTTCTAAATTATAAATCGCTTTAACTTTTTTTTGGTACATCCATTTTGATATGCATATAGATATAATAATATGCATAGCAAAACGGATGAACAAAAAAAGTAAAAACGACTTATAATTTGGAACGGATGTAATACTTATATAGATGTTCTAGAATTTGTTTTTGAAACTGATGTTATAGAAATATTAACATATCTTTATAGCACATTTTAGTCATTTTTCATCCTAGAAAAAATTACCTCCCTCCATTTTCATTTACTAGACATTTTTTTTACTGTCTGTGCATTTTTCTAACAAAAAAAATGTAATTTGTCAGTGAACATAGTAACACTTTGTCGGTGTTATACACTTTGAAGTATCTAAAAAATATATATAAAAAAACGAATGATCAAAAGTTAGCTCCATTGGAATTTAGGAGTCGGGTGACAAGTGCACAACAACAAAGGGAAGTAGATGCACCTCGTTAAACGTATTTAGCCAAAACTTGTAAGCATTTTGAAACAGAGGCTTAGCCGCTTAGTGATCTTGAAATCTCAAATCTCTACGGCCTCAAAAATCAGGAGGCATCGTGTATGATGCCACGTAAAGATGGGAGATCGATGGACACCACTATCGATCACATCGTGGCGTTGCTGGAGTGGACAGCCTCGATCGACGGCTCTACCCGTCCAGAACGGACACGTCCAAGAACGGGATCCCAGGGGCAAAACTGTAAAAAAGCACGGTGGGCCCTAGCCGGTCTCGCGTCTGGAGACTTTCAGATCAGATCGGGGAGGAGGAGCAGGAAAAAGAAACCAAACTCGGCTCGAGAGAGATCGCATCTGCCGGCCCACCTTCTTTCCTTCTCCTTCGCCCCATCGACGCGGCAGCCCGGAGACCGAGCAACCCACCACCGAGAGTCTGAGTCAGGGAGAGGAGCAGGCAGCCGGAGACGAAGAAGATGTCGTCGGTGTTCAGCGGCGATGAGACGGCCCCCTTCTTCGGCTTCCTCGGCGCCGCCGCCGCCCTCATCTTCTCATGTTCGTTCCCCCTTCCCCCATCCTCCTCTTCCACCCGCGCACTCAATCGATTCCGTACCCAAAGCTCTAGTTTTTCCCCAAGAAAGTTCGAATTTTTCAGCGTCCATAGCCCGATCTGTCGCCGGAGTTCCGTGGTTCGGCTCGATCTGACCGAGCCCCAGCTTCCGGTCAGCGCGATTCCGGGCGCGCCGGTGCTGGATCTGCCCGATTCGGTCCCGGTCGGGTGCGGGATTCCAGAAATCGACGGGCTTTTTCGGTCGGGCAGCGGGGCAGGTGCTGACCGCGCTGTTGTTTTCGCTTGATTGATTGATCCGGCGCACAGGCATGGGCGCGGCGTACGGGACGGCGAAGAGCGGCGTCGGCGTGGCGTCGATGGGTGTGATGCGGCCGGAGCTCGTCATGAAGTCCATCGTGCCCGTCGTCATGGCTGGTGTGCTCGGTATCTACGGCCTCATCATCGCCGTCATCATCAGCACGGGGATCAACCCCAAGGCCAAGCCCTACTACCTCTTCGATGGCTACGCCCACCTGTCGTCCGGGCTTGCCTGTGGCCTTGCTGGGCTTGCGGCTGGCATGGCCATCGGCATTGTCGGTGATGCTGGAGTCAGGTAAAAAGCTCTTTATCTGTAGTGAGCATCATGGATTTACTCTGTCCTTTTGCTATTGTCTGCTATTAAATGACATGTCCAGAATGTTAATATTATGTTATTGAGTGCTACAAGGTTAATAGCATTAATAATGTGACTCCTCAATGGTGTTATTTAGTGCTCACTCGTTTTATCGCCATTTATAAGTCATAAGAACCTAAATCCATGTAATATAGGTAGTTATTAGCATTCAAATTCTTGCTCATTATTAGTCTAATGCCTTTTGTCCTGTTGGTCTTGCACATGAATTCTTTTTCTTGGGACTTAAAACATTTGAAAAACGAAATGTCTAAAATGATGCCTATTTTACAGTTAATAAGTATTCTTTCTGACTTTGAACTATTTGCTGTCAGTTTAATGATGGCATATATGTACTCTGTGTTGTACCCCTGTTTTGTTTCTGTTCTCTCTGAGACATTTTCCTTAAACTGATAAAATAGTTTTGATTAGAAAACATGTAGGTTTGGGATTCCTCTGTATCTTTAAGCTCCCCATAAATAATAGTTCTGTGGTGAGAGCACTGCAGATTTCTTGTCTTTTAGAGTTAATAACTGTCTTGTTATTGCACTTCATTTTCACTGAAGTATGACCCTCCTAAGTTCTACTGTTCCATGAACACAAGCGTACTCTTGGATGACTACCAAATCGATATATGCCTATTTATACACTTGAAGGCTGTTATGATCAACCTAAACTCCTTTATTTTCAGTAGCTCCAGATGAGATCGATAATCCCTTTTTTGATATTTCATAGAGAAGTTTGAAAATGCAATTATTATGTGTTTAGGTTCTTTGTTAGGTTAGATGCCTTCATGAGCTCTTTCTGTCACTACTACTTGCTTGATGTTATGTTTTCCTAAAAAAAAAAGTCAGTAGCTTATGTATCTTTCACCTGGCATTTCTTCTTTTATGGAAGCAGTACATGCTTATGTGGGAATTGAAATGTTATTTTGACTTATTTTCTGTGCCACCGATTTCAGGGCAAATGCACAACAGCCGAAGCTTTTCGTGGGCATGATCCTCATCCTCATTTTCGCAGAAGCGCTTGCTCTCTACGGTCTGATCGTTGGAATTATCCTTTCATCCCGTGCTGGTCAATCCCGGGCGGAATAAGTGCACTACCATTCTGCGATTACCGCACTGCTATTCTGAGAGAATTGAAACTCTATGCCCTTGTCTAGTTTATTCTTGTTACCATGTATTAATGAAACAATCTGTAGCTGAAGGAAGTTGACACTTCCAGTCATGTTGGTTTTGGTGGTGTCAAGCAGAGGTTATTTTTTGGGTTAAGGTTGGATGGATGCTCCTGGGCTAAGTGGATTTAATTTTATCCTTGGTGAATAAAGGACACGGAATTGTAGCCAAATAATAACGTGATATATATATTTCTTTGCCCCTTTACTGGATCCCTGGATTTTCATAGCATGTTCACCGCGGTAATTGATGGTTTGTTTCTGATGTTTTTGTTTTTAAGCCAAAGGTTGATAGGTTGTATGCAGTACAGAATCATCTCTGAATATATTGAAATCATGCTGCTAGAGATTCCTGCCCCTTGCAATTCTGTTGGGCAGTTGTCGGATCTATTACTCCATGAATTCACATGCTGATCTAATCACAATAACTGCCCATGGTTATTCCTCGTTCGCTTTGTTGAAAAAACAAGTTAAAACACTGTTTCGGCTGATTTGTCGTGAGAGAAAAACACTGTTTCAGCTGAAAAAACAAGCTGAAAAGTATAGATTATAAGAGAAGCGAACAGGGCTATTACTTTGGTTCAACATCGTACAAATTATGGGAACCAAAGTGAGGAATCCTCAAGGTATAGTTCCCTACTGGTGCGTGGGGGAACACTACACATTATTGGCAATTGATTTACCATGCTCTCTTCTTATCAGTCAACTATTGTCTTAAATAAAAAAACAAAAAAAGGGGCTCTCAAACATACCGGTACGAAGTACAAAAAGAACTGTTGTTGCCAGTTGCTACCAAGAAACATCCCTATGACCAGCGTCAGCGTCACTAGCTGTACAACTGGGCAAGGTCCATCTCGTATGCCTTCTTGATGACCTCCCTCTTGAGCTTGAGGGCAGCCGTGACGAGGCCTGACTCCGGCGTCCATGGCTCTGGTATCAACTTAATTTTGGCTGGGATCTCAAATTTCTCCAGTCGTGCTTGCTTAGCAGCCTGAAGAACAAGCACATATCACTAAAATCAAGTAATTATCATACAACACATCATGCGGTACTTATGATGCCCGCAACATTTGATTTATATAAAGTTGTACTGCTATGAGATATTAGAGTATATATTTCCTTTGTATTTCTCAATGAAAATTTGGAATAAAGAAGTGAATAATTGAATCAAATGCAACAATTACTGAAGCATTAAATTGAAGGAATAATTGTTTTTTGGGGTGGCGTGGGGTGGGGTGGGGTGGGGTGGGGTGGGGGATCAGGAATGAATTAACTGAGATGCAAGGAGAACACAAACCTTCACCAAAGATTGGAGGACTTCTTTGACTGTCCCTTGCTTCTGGCACAAATCTGAGAAATCACTATATGTGATTCCTTGTTTTGAGGCCCAGTTTTTCAGCTCACTCTGTGCAGCTACAATAAGCGCAACGCAGTAGTTGTGGAAGGGGTCAGCATGGATCATGATCTGGTCAATGTATGAGCACACACTCAAAGCAGCCTCCACCTGTGATTGTATTATTATTAGTTAGAACTGATTAACGACTTGTTTTGTTTGGTTAGAACAAAGAAGCCTGCCTACCTTTCCTAGAGAAACATATTCACCATGTTGAAGCTTGACTATATCCTTCTTACGGTCGATGATTTCAAGACATCCGTCTGGGTGCAAGCGCCCAATGTCACCAGAGTAGAACCACCGCATGCCTCTTTCGTCAACCTTCAAAAGACGCAGTGTTCAAGAAAAGTAGCCACAATAAGCACTTTCCTGGACACTGGGTATTGTTGGAAACACACCTTGTACACCTCGTTTGTTTTTGCTTCATTTTTGAAGTAGCCTTTAGTTACATTTGGGCCCCCAATAACTATTTCACCACGAGGCATTGGCACATCAGTTGTTAAGTATCCACCTTCGGCCCAGTCTACCAACTATCATGTTAGGAAAAACAATCGAGTCTGAAGCCAAGGGAAAATAAAATTACTCATACCACAAAATGAAAGAAGCCATACAAATAAAAGTGGACATGCAAAACAAAGGTCATACTATGCAATAGCTTCTGTTTCTAGATTTGCACTTCAAGCATTAAGATATATTGGGCTTATCAGTGATCTTTATACAGCACTTTTTCTCGAATACTTTAATATGGTACTTGGCACAGGTAAGAAAACATATATCCTTTGCAACTACAGAAAATCTTCCAGACTTATTTCATCAGATAAGTAACAAGATCTGTTATCAACTGTACCATTATGAATGAAAATAATGCTTGTTGCTTTGGGAGATATATGTCAGCTGAAGTAAATATAGAGACAACTTTGGTTCTATACCTTAATGTATGAACAAGGCAGAGGGGGACCAACACGGCCAACAGATGTTTCATCATACTCTGAAAATGTCCCACCAGCACAAGTTTCAGTCAGGCCATATCCTTGCGATATTGGAGCCCTGCAATAACATAAATCGCCCTATCAATTTATGCGCTGTAAGTATAATGAAATAATTGTATATTCATGTGCAAACTATTGGCTTGAGTGTTTGAATCCAAATTTGTGAAACAAAGTGGGCAACAGATGCAGTTGGCTTGCTCATCTTGTGCACCTGTATTTTGTTACAATCAATTTAAATACAAAAAATAGCTGGGGGAGTTCCCCCACTGAGCCCTCAAAAAAACAGATGCAGTTGGCGTTACAACACAATTGATAATGCCACTGAAAAAAATAAGACTTAAATCTCACCCAAGACATATATTGATAAATCTCTGAGTGTCCCCTGACAGAGGTGCTCCACCTGCAAGAATAAAGCGAATCCATCCTCCTAAGATTGCACGAACCTTTTGGAACACAAGCATATCCCACAAGAGCTTCTCTAGTCCCCATGCACCCAACCAGCTTCCATTAACAGCAGCTAGACGGCGGCTGTAGGCAATATCAAATAATCTCTTCGCTAACCCACCTTTTGCATCTACCTGAATTTATCTCAGCATGAAAAAATAGAACAGTTGAGACAACATGAAAGAGCCCAAAAAGCAATGCATGAACTAACAGTAAAGAACATTACGTTTTTTCGTACACCATCACGAACACGGTCGAGTATAGCAGGTACAGCGGTCATTAGTGTTGGCTTCAGTACAGAAGCATCACCCTGTGTCCCCTTTTTTATTTTATTTGATGTATCGGTCAGGGTCAAAGGTGACCCATATCCAATTGAAGCCCCAACACCAGTTATGATTGCCTAAACATTCCAGTTGCATAGAGTGAGTGAGCATAAAAAAGAACAACAATGTGGAATAGACTGACATGACATGTCAATGCTTACCTCAGCTGCCAATTCAAGGATATGTGCTAGGGGAAGGTATGCCAGGTACACATCCTTCTTGCCAAGACCGGGCACAATGGTCATAACAGCTGAAACTACAGCCAAGACATTTTGGTGGCTCATCATGACTCCCTGTGAAAAATTATACAAACAAGAATGTTGCCTCAATCAGAAGAAGTTGTGTAGTAGATTATCTCAGGAAAACAACATTGATAAGTGCACACAACCTGAAGTGATCTAACATGAACACTGGTAAAGAGAGTTTATTTCATATCTGCTGCAGAATCAAAATGAAGATGTTGAAATACTAGGATTTGAACAAACCTTAGGCATTCCTGTGCTCCCACTCGTATACATAATCACTGCAGTATCTGATGGGAGAGGCAAGTTTTCCTCCACAGGTCTTTGCAACCCTATGCTCTCTACCTCCTCAAATGACTTGATGGTCCAGCTAGTACAGTTTTGAGCCAAGGATACTTCAGCCGAGACACCTTCCTCATTAATGTAGATGACATGTTTCACAGTGTCAAGTTGCCCACTTATATCAATCAGCTTTTTAAGTTCTTTCCGTCCGCACACAACAGTGGTTACTTCAGTCTAAAGAGTAAAACTAAGAATAAGATCAGCTGAAAGTGCAACAGTGCCACATATAATAGGTATGGCTTTGTAAATCCTTAAGGAATAACGTTTGAGAATGAATGCCAGTATACAGTGGCCATAAAAAAGAGAGATGCCACAGCTAACAAAAGCAAAAAAAAAAAATCAATTGTTGTAAGGGCCTGAGGATGGTATAAACAATGGTTTTGAATATATAGACAACACTGGATGAAGTAACCCAACCTCATTTAGTGAGTGACATAGCGCTCCCTCCCCCAAAGAGGCATAGATTGTGACAACTGCAATATTTTGTCTGAAGCATGCCTAGCAAAGAGAGGAATAAAAGATTATAGATTTAGCAATAGATTTGCCGAGCTAAATATTAACTCAATGTAAATAGCATAGGTAAAATGTGGTGGCAAATTCATTTAGCACAAAAAAACATAAGCAAAAGTGCAGAACAGCATAATATATTTCCGCATTAAGTACCAATGTCATTGAATGAAACCGGTCTTCATATGAGTATATGACAGTACAAATAACTTGTTAAATCTTCATATCCCTATCATTATCACTGCCCATTCATCAAGAAGGGTACCATCACTATGTTTCTAGAACAATGCAACCTATGTGTATTTGCAAAGCTTATTGTATTGTGAATGAGATGATTAAGAAACTTGAGGACGAATTTGCATTATCCAAACTGCACTTCAGATATTTGATGCTCGATAGCATCTATATTTGCCAATATCGGTAAATTGGTTGGGAAAGTACCTGCAACGCAATCTGCCACTCAGCCCGTGTATCAGAAAAAATAGCAACGCGCTCATCCTTCAGGTGCCCAATCCGCAGAAGACCAGAAGCGAAATTGCAGACAGTTTTGAACGCATCAGCGTAGCTCTTCCACTCATAATTTCCCAAATGGAGCTTCTCAAAGGATCTTCCATCAGCAGCCGCTACCATTTCTCTCGCAACAAGCTTCCTAGTGCCAAATAGGGGCATGCAGGCAAACT